TAATAAAATAATACAAACAAATAGAAATTGCTTATGTTTTTAATGAATGAATATAATATAAAATCATAAATATGACAGAAAATGACATAATTCGTATATATATATTCTACATTATTAAATTACATTTTGTATTAAATATAATAAATTATAAATATATTCAAAATGAATAAATAATTATTTATTATGAAGTGAAGTATCAGTTCTATAGTAATCAGGTGCTCACTGTTGTCGATAACGCTGAATCTCCTCTCCTTAGTGAATAGGAAGTCACACCATACTGGTTTACTCTGGAAGAGCAGCCTGACAGGCCTAAGTGATCACAAAAATGGTTCATTTTTCCAGGTATACTGGTATTACAACTTGTTAAATGGCATTTTACCCCTATAAGCATCATATGTTTTAAAGATAACCCGAATGATCAAAAGCAGTAATATTTCACCTCTTCTTTGAAGAGTCGAGTAGCCTGGGTCCACTTGATCTGTTCCTGATCCAGGAAGCTCTGGTTCACTCAGGTAGGACCGCAGTTCCACCTAAAGCCCAAACATTTGATTTCATCCTTATTGCAAAGTAATCACAATGCATATTACTGTCACATGGATGGTGATAAAGTATAAGTTAATTATTTAAAAACTTTTTCCAAAGACATTCCATTATTCAAAAACTACATTTTATTCTTTTTTGTACATGTGAAGTTTAGTAAGACGAATTACTTGAATTAAGCATTTTTTTATTATTACTTATATACTATTATATTTATTTATTCATTCATATTTTGAATTACTTTATATTTTCAATTTTCATTTTAGTTTAGGTTTTAGTAATTCAGTTATGTGCTTCTGCAATTTCTTTTCCCAGTTTTTGTTTTAGTAATTTTATTTCAGTTAGTTTCTATTTGTAAATTTATCTATATATATATACTTATAAAATTGTATTTTAATAGTTTTAGTTAACAATAACAACACTGATGACAATAAGCTTTACAATAACAATGACCTTCACGAGTGAGTTTATTACCCTGCAGTCTCCATTCACATAGCTGCTTTCTCTGTCACGTTTCCTCTCATCAGATTGTCGTTTGAGGCCACGGACAGAAGTGTGTCTGATGACCGTTGTTTCTTTAGGTAAGGGCGGGACAACAGGGGGTGTGTCCTCATCATAGAGGAGGGGCAAAGGTGGTCTGGGTGGAGCATCATCCTCGTCCTAAAAATTACACACTTAAGTAAACCATTAAGTATTTAATTAGTTGTCTTTAGCAAGGCTCTTTTGTCTAAAGTACCTTACAATACAATCATTTTAGGAATAGCACCAGTCAAGTAACACATACCCATTTTGGCATAGAGTAAGGATGCTGAAAAACCTCATTGTCCAAGGGCAGTGATAACGGACTGGAGGTAAGACTGCGTCGGGGTGACCACACCTTGACTGCGAACGGGGTCATGCATCGAGAAGGCACTGTCGACTCTATCACTGAAGGCACAAGTTTTCTCTCTGGACACAAAAGCAAGAGTTACAAGAAAAGCTCTGAAGTAGGTTTATTAACCCTATCTAACTAGTCCATTCTTACCTGGGTTCTTCACTGAGTCTATGGTGATTTTGAAGGTTTCTTTGGATGAGCTGAGTCCAGTCATCACGTCCTCTATCCTCCAGAGCTCCCTCCTCAACTGATTTTTCTCCTGAGAACAAAAACACACCTTTTCAAAAGTCTCCAAATCGTATTTTTATTCTAGCCAGGATTATTATTACTAAAACTAAAACATTTTCATTACTTTAAATAAAATAAAGGCCTGTTCACACCAAAGATGATAACTATAATGATAAAGATATCGTTTTTTTTGCTTTTCTTAATGCTTTATTTTAACATAACAAAACAATAAAACAGACAGAACAATGACCACTGATCAATTCCACAAGCGCATACCAACATAAACCAAGCTTTAAAAAAAGAAAAATAAATAATCAAGGTTAATGTTGACCTGCCAAGGTTTTGCAAAAAGGTAAATGAAATCCTAGGACCTATATACTTAGATAAAGATATAGTTTTAAAAATCTATTTAAATGTAAAAGAATAGTGGAGTTCACACCACAACTATAACACTAGTGGCACTTAAAAAAAAAAAAAAAAAAGCATTGACAGCCCATCAGAATCCACTATGACATAACTGCAGCGCACATTTATGATAAACAATGTTAGCGTGCGTTGGTGTGGATGTTGATAACGTTATCGTTCTTGGTGTGAACAGGCCATACACATTAAATGAAATAAAATATAAAAAATATTTATTTTATTTCAGCTAGTTGCCAAGGCAAAAGTTCTCATTTTTATGTAGTTTAAGCTTAAGTAATAAAATAAACTGAGCAAAATAAACTAAAACTAACCAAAACCTAAAAAAATATAGAAAAAAAAATTGTGCTGGGCAACGATTAATCGCATCTAAAATAAAAGTTTTTGTTTACATAATATATGTGTGTGTACTGTGTATATTTATCTTGTATATATAAATACACACACATACAGTGTATATATATATATATATATATATGTATGTGTGTAAATACAATATT